AATGTAATATAAATAATTTTATTATTACTATTTAATCTTTTCGTACATATTTGTCGTTTCATGAATAAATGTTAATGTGATAAACGCAAAAAATAATACAAAAACTGTTAAAATTATATTAACGATTTTTGTCATTTTTATTTACATAATTTATATTTAAAGAAATACGATTTTTAATAAAAAATATGTAATTGATATTAAATAAAATTGTGTATTATTATATAAATTGTTCTTTCATCTGTATATGCCTTCTTTATGATGTAATGTAAATTTAAATATAAGTACATACTCGTAATACATAAACTGAATAAATGATATTCACTTTTTTTTTTTTTTTTCTTATACATATTATTTATAAATTGATGCATATTAATAATTCCTTTAATTATTAAAAATATAGTTTGAATATAAATTATATAAATATCTGTAAATTAATAGAAATGAGAGAAGACAAATGAAGCTACAGAATGCTAAAAGGGAAGCTCTGTTCTTTCGGATTCAATTTCTTGAGAATGGCAAGAATAATCTTAGTCAAAATAATAAAGTAACCCGATGTAGAGCTGGTCGATTTCTTCAAGAAATTAAAGTTTCATAGCAGATTCGTCCACAGTCCCAACAGCTCACCTTTAATAAAGTCCACGGCCATTTCGAGGCCGTACGAGTCCTTGTCGCAGTCGTCGAGTATGTGCGCGCCGAGCGTGATGTTTGGCAGCAGATGCATCTCGTTGATGCGATCGATGGTGTAGAGCATGGCCTCGAGGGCCTGGATGCCGCCCTGCGGCATGATGGGACCGCAGGTGATGCTGTCCTCGCGCGAGTGCACCATCATGAGGCCGCCAATTATGACGTCGCCCTCAACAATGGCTTCGCGCTTGACGGGCCAGTGGCGCTGCGGCTGGCTGGCATGGAGGCGATCCTGCAGAAAGTCGACCGAGTCGGGCAGCGAACGCAAATATTTGCCGCCCAGCTCCGATATCAGTGGCAGCATCAGATTGTTGGCCTGATTGTTGTTGTTATTATTGTTGTTGCTGTTGGCATAGTGCGGCGTCACGTGGCGTCCACGATGGCGGCCGGAGCGCGTCGAGGGACCGCCAGCGGGCGACAGGCTGAGTGGCAGCTCGATGTTCGCATAGCGCTGATAGCTCTCCAAATCAAAATGATTATTGGCATAGTCTAGCTGGTCCACCACATGTTGCTCCAACTGTGAGGGCTGTGGCTTCTCTGGCGACTGCTGTTCCGCCAGTTCCTCGTCGTTGACATAATCGGGAAATGTTGCCGGCGTGGCCGAGTGCAGCCAGTGCGAGTGTTTGCCCAGCTGTTGCTGTCGCTCTTCCAGCTCCAGCGCCTTATAATGATTTTCTCTATAAGTCCGGCCATGAACACGATGCTTATGCTGATGCAGATGTTTTCGCTGCTGCTGCTGCTGCTGCTGCTGATGATGATGGTGATGGTGATGATGATGGTGGTGGTGGTGATTAATATGATGATGCCTCGCGGCTGTGTAGCTCTTGAATTGTTCAACTGGAAAAAGCAGCTGCTGTTCTGGCGCTGGCAGCTCCCTCTTTGGCTGCTCCTGCTCCTCCTGCTGTTGCTGTTGCTGTTGGTGTTGCTGCTGTTGGCCATTGTCCACGGACCACTTATCTCGTATATCACCAATAACCGCACTCTCCGCGCTGCCCGCACTCGATTCGCCCAGCGCCAGCAGCACAATAACAAAAGCGAGCACACACAAACGATTCGAACATGCTAATTTCATGTTTGCATCGACTTTAATCTTGAGTTAATTCACAATTTATTTGGATATTATTTGAGTGGATTTATATTATATTTCGCATATATAGCCATATTGCGGATTTGAAAGTTCCATTTTTGGCAAAAACTATTTAGAAAAATCAAATTTAATATATAAAATAAAAGATTTGTTTTCCTTTTTCGTTTATTAGATTTCACTTATTTTCATTGCACTCATTTTCTGTTGTCATTTGTTTTAAAGTTATTATGGAAACTAAAATTGCATATATTACTAATATTTTTTCTCTCATTAAAATTTCAAGAATTTCATTATGCTCATTTCTATTGTAATTAATTTTTGCTTTTATATGAATATTATTAGGAGTAAATTTTGTTATTTTACATAATTTTGTCTGTTTCAACTCTTGTCTCACATTTCGCGTATTAAATTTCACATATTTTCATTGCGCTCATTTCTGTGGTATTTAAATGTTGCCGCTGTCTACATTTCATTACATGGTCATTAAAATTGCTGAAATTCTGTGGAGCTGTCAGCGGCATTGCAACCGAACTCTAATATCATTAGAGAATCAGCAGTGCCAGCCACGCCCAGCTTATAAATGTCAACTGTTAAACACCTGCCCCGGAAGGGCGCCCATAAAAATGATTGCCCAGTGCTTTTTGTTAGTGTTGGTGTGGCCTAAGGTAACCGAAAATTTTGCATAGAATTTGTGCGTGGCAAAGGCGCAACACAAAGCGAAGGCGAGAGCAAAAGCGAACGCAAAAGCGTTGCCCTCATAATGCACAAATCCTTTGCAGCAACTGAAGAAGGTGCCGCCAGGGCTGGGTTGGGCCAGGGGCGTCGTGTAATTAATCAAATTGTTGGCGGCATAATGAGCTTGTCGGCTTGTCGGTGTCAGAGCACCTCCGAAGGCAGACAGAGCAGCTAGCAGCACGGAGCACCCAGTGCCACTCTCAGCACTGAGTTGACTGACTAATCAACGGGCGCATTAGCGCCGCTTTCCAGCCACATTCTCGGTCTGCAGTTTCGAGTTTACAAAATTACTTATCATCAGCATAATCAGCGGCATTATCAAGTCGATGGCAGCGAGGGCGACACGAAATGGGGGTCGGGTCGGGTCTGTCATTGCCAGACCTAACCTCACTGGCCTATCACTCAGCTCTGGGCTCTCAGCTCTCGGCGTTCGCCTCTCGGCTGCTGCAGCTGTGCCCTCAACGGTTGCGGGACGCATCTAATAATGAGATTGCGTTAAACAAATGGTGCTTTCCTTTTATTGCCCTTAATAGACACCGGAGGCTGCTTACACGCTCGTAATTTATTTTGATTACATTTGTCGTTCTCTATCTGCCGCAGTCTCGCTCCTCTCTCTCTCTCTCTCTCTCTCTCTCTCTCTCTCTCTCTCTGCTTTGTCTCCGTTCATTGCTATTTCACACTCTAAGCAAATGAGCGTGTGTTTGTGTGTGATTGTGCTTGCTTCAGAGATTTTAAGGCTCACTAATAAATGGATCAGTCATTTCCCATCAAATCAGTTTTTAATGCCTTCTTTTATTATCATCGAATTTGTCATTGCAAATAAGCCTTAAATGGCTATCAATCACAATTAAGTCTAGATGCAATTTAGAATCTCAGGTAAATTTTAGGTCAAATGAGTGAAACAATTGGAGTTGCATAAATTGAGCAGGTTGATCTATAGCTCTATCACCTTATAGAGATTGCAAATTGAAGTGAAACTTTTTATATTACGTATATATATGTCGGCTGTGTGTTAATTCAGTCATTTTCCATCATACATTTTTATTTGAATGCCAGCTGCGCCTAATAATGAATTCCTGGTGAGCATCATTCACGCTGTGCTTTTCCAGAATTCCATTCTAGTCCCTGCTCATCGTCCACAGCCAATCAGAATGCCACTGACTACTCAGCAATAGCTATACTTGCCTCTCTCACACTCAGTGAAAGTTAAAGAATACAATAAGAAGCGCACAGCTGCATATGCTGCCTTATTTTACTAACACTACTTCAACAGTGTAGTAGTTGTATTTGTCTCTCTCTCACACACACACTCAGGTAGCGTGAAAGAATAAAAGCCAGCTTAGGCGCAAGCTCACATGGATAACCACAAGCTGAAACTGCCTCTTACACTAATACTACTGCAACAGTAGAACGATATTCGTCTCTCTCTCACTTTTACATGGAGTGATAGCTAAGGAATAGAAGCTAGCATTGAGAAACACTCAGCTTAGGTGCAAGCTCATTCATTTACAACTTTATACAAGCTCTCTGGCTCGCACTAATACTATTGCAAGGGTAGCAGCCAATCGTGATGCAATTAAAGAGAATTGGGAAACTAAGAAATTACACTCTGATTAAGTTTCACATACGACGTATATGTACTTATTATAAAATGCAATGAATGGGAATAAATAAACTAATAATTACAGAAGTAGGAATTAAGTGCAGAATCTCATTCATTTTATTTTATACATTGATTATATTTATAGTTATAAATTAAGAGATTAATTGTAATCAGATTTATTTATAAATATATATTCAGCAGCATTATGTAAACGAATTAAACCCACAGCTCATATCTAAAGAGAAAGAGTTATTCCATAATTAGTTTATGCGATTATTTCTTCCATATTTCAAGCTGATTGAAGCGCACATTCGGCTTACGTCCGTAAATAGTGTTGCCCAAATGGGAAAAACTTATCAATGCGCATACGAAACCGAAGCCAAGGTTGCTCCACTTCAGATTCTTTCTGGGATGTCTTATCTAGGCTTATGCTGTGCTGCTCGCTTCGCATGTCTGCGCCCTGTGCCACTGTAGCTCACTGATACTTGGCCGGGCTTGTCATTGCGCTGTGTGTCCTTTGTGCTTTGTCTTATTGGTTATTTGGATGTGGGGACTTTGATTTGATTGAGCATTGCGCTCAGTTGCTGTGTCCCTTTTTGCGCTCATTTGAATATCCCAGACGAGCTGGCATTGAAATTGAAATATGTGTGTTCGCATGTATCGGAATGATGGAGGAATCCCAGCCAACTCCCAGCCCCAGTCGGGATTTAAAGATAATTTGTGAGTGCCCGGGACAGCTTTGAATGCGGCCAATTTGTTTCTACTGTTGCGTGGGTGGCCCACAGAGCTGGCTGACTGTTTGGCTGGCTAGAGTTCAGCTTGTGCAAATTGATTTTCATCGATAGCGCACAAAGTTGCATAAATTGCCACTCGATGTGTTTGCGTTAAGCCCGGCGCAAGGTCAGACACTCGATACGATGGCCGCTTAACGGCCAATATCGTATTAACTATGCATAAAAAAATACAAATAAAAGTAGAATAAAACAGCACCATAAAATAGCACTCGTTGCGCCGTTAAGTAGGCTGTGAAAAAGAGAGCAAAGCCTGTAATTTATGCATTCATCGGACGCCTCAAGTGGTTTCACTTTGTCGCAGTCGCAAAAAGCATCAGCTGACTGAAGTCCCATATATATTCCAGTCTGATGCGGGAATATTTAAAGGGCAGCGCAATTGACTCAACAGCCCTTTAAAGTGTATTGCGTGCCTCCCTCAGAATTTCCATGATGTTGCTGTGGCAGGCGTAAAGTATGCTAAACAAATTGTTACATTTACATAAATGCCAGGCCGAACAACAGACGCATCAAGAAATTTTTCAAATTCGCATCAAATAACATTCAATCATACTTTTGTGCACACACACACGCAGACACACACAGCTGGCTGACACCTGGGCAAGGATGTCAACGTCCTGCAGCTTACAGCTTGGCTCGGTGCCGACGCCGACTCCAGCCGCGCGGATTACGCGACGCCTTCAATTTGTTACGCGACGAAGCAAAAAATTAATAGCAACATATGTAAAAAGAAAAAAAAAAAAAAAAAAGTGCCAAAATGCTGCAAACACAGCATAAGAATTGTGCTCGACGGCTGAATTATGAATAACTTTGACAGGTGTACGCATACGCGCTGATATGCAAAGTTCTGCCAAACAACGCCACTCGCCCACACACACTCACACACCCACATATACGCCTCTGCAATGTCGCTGTCTACGTCAGTTACAAATGTCTTGCGAGTGTGTGATAAATTTCGTTGACACGCACCAACAGCAACAACAACAACAACAGCTGAGAGCAGCCGGAAGATATTGTACGCAACTGTCTCGTGGCTGTGCTCTATTTACAGTGCCTACGACTGTCTACGTATGTATGCGCACATGTCGCACATCGCTGCCAGGTAATCAGCAACAATGTCAGCTACACTTTTGACACTTGCGCAATCATTTTTAATTTGATTAGCAGCCAAAGCCGAGTGGGAGACCAGCTCGTATATCATTTGATAGCTGCTCTTACCCGGCATTGTGCGGCTCATAATTTTCTCGAAAATTACAATTTTCGGCGAAACCTATTTTACGAGTAATTTATGTGAGTGGGAATGGAATAATATGAAAACAAAATGATAAATAATGTATATATAAAATGTATTTATAAATAAAATATACAATAATGATAAAAATGTAGTCT